CTTCCAAACATTTTGAAAAGAATTAGTTCCTGTATTCTAGAATACTTCAAGAAGATTAAAGCCTCTTAGACATTTTCAAAATATTAAAATAACCCAATGTGATTTAAGAACTGAGATAAGCATTATGAGAAAAAAATCCCACTTTTCTCTCAGAGACATTTCTAAAATGTCTTAACAAAGTGTTAGGAAACCAAAGTGAGTTCAGGCCAGCCTGTGTCCGTGGAAATGGCCTGCAATTCAGAAATCAAACCGTTCACCTTGAGAACAAAAAGGGGAGGAAACCTTGCAGGCATCCCCAGTGCTGAGAAGGACGTGAGAAATCCAACTTTGGCTTCTGATGAGCACACTTTCTTGTTAGCTCCCAGACCAGACACTTTGTTGGGCCCCAGACCCCACGGGGTCTCTGTGAGTCACTTGTCAGGTGCATCCTATTTTCTACTGGCTTACAACCTTGGCCTTGCCCCACTGGCATCAACCTCTAATTATGAAAACACGAACTCTTACACCTGGGGTTTCTGGGATTTTTCCACTGTGCTGTAAGTTTGTATATAAGGCTGCTCCCTCCTTATAATACACACACACACACACACACACACTCACACTCACACTCACACTCTCTTAGCACAAACTGGCTGGCCGTCCGTCTTGTCTTTCATTTAAATCTCCAGGCTTTCGCCCCATACATTAGACTTGCTTGTGGCACAGCCACCACACTCTTAATTTAGTAAAACAATATCTATAAAATACACACGATAAGAGCCGGGAGTTGGTGGCGCATGCCTTTAATCCCAGCACTCGGGAGGCAGAGGCAGGCGGATCTACAGAGGCCAGCCTGGTCTACAGAGTTCCAGGACAGCCTCCAAAGCCACAGAGAAACCTTGTCTCAAAAAACCAAAAAAAAAAAAAAAAATACACACGATATCATAGGTATAGCACAGAAACCCTCCCTCCAGCTTGGGGGACAGAGTCTAAATTAGCCTGTTACCACTTTTATACAACACTAACTTTGAGGTCTATGGGGAGTGGAGGGTGGGGGGTGGGGAATGGTTAATGGAAAGCAAGAAATAAAATTGTCATTTAGAGACAATAAGATCATCCTTGCACAAAATTTCCACAAGTTTGGCATATTTGTATGAACTGGCAAGAGATACATAAATAACAAAACATATTTACAATGGAATTAAAACTCAAATACTTAGAAATGTATTAGAGCTGGGCAGTGGTGGTGCACACCTTTGATCCCAGCACTCAGGAGGCAGAGGCAGGTGGATCTCTGTGAGTTTGAGGTCAGCCTGGTCTACAAATAGAGTTTTGTGTAGCAAGGGCTACATAGGAAAACCCTGTCTCAAATGAAAACAACAACAACAACAACAAAAAATTAGAAAAGTATATGATATTACTGAAAGAACACTATAGAGTCAAATAAACAGAAGTACACACATTGTTATTCGAGAAGTGTGTTGTTAGCGCTTCCATATGAATGCAGGCTTCCAGGAAGCCCTGATCAAAATCCAAGATGCCTGTTGACTTACTGTAGTAGAATATTATTTTAAGGTGTGTGACTTTTGTGTATGCTGCATTTGTTCAACTCTGTGAAGCTGTGATTCCTTGCCTGTCTAAAACACTGATGGTCTAATAAAGCGCTGAATGGCCAATAGCAAGGCAGGAGCAAGGATAGGCGGGGCTGGCAGACAGAGAGGATAAATAGGAGAAACAAGGAAAAGTAGAGAGCAAGAGAACAAGGAAGGAGGTCGGGGGCCAGCCATGGAGGAAGAGGAAAGTAAGATTTGCAGAAAAGATAAAAGCCCGGAGGAAAAAGGTAGACAGGTTGATTTAAATTAAGAAAAGCTGACTAGCAACAAGCCAAGCTAAGGCCAGGCATTCACACGTGATTTATTTGGGTACTGGGTGGTAGACCTCCAAAAGTCCAAAAAAGTAAAAGAAAACACAATAATTTGTTTCCAGAAACTGACAAAACTTTCTAAAGTTAGCATGGAACTATGTTCTAGAAGGATAGCATGAGTGGAAAAGCGATTATTCTAAAGCTATTGATCATCAAAAATGAGTGCTGTGGGTTCCAGGACAGTGTGTCCAATGGGAGAGGGAGGAGGAGTCCAAAAGTAGCCCTGCATATCTAGCATCACGTGACTTACAAGAACACGACCCCGTGACTCCGTAGGAAAAGCAGATGGAGAAAAACAGCACTTCTTGATGCTACACGCAAAAGCCAACTCCTGGTGGTTTGCCTTTAGAAGCAAACCCCTCCAGGACCATGGAGCAAATTATCCTTACAATACAAAATAGAAAAACAAACTAACCACAAGAGAAACAATGGAATAAAATCAACTATCAAATCTCAGAACGTCTTCCCCACAAAAGTGAGTGAGTCCATGGGAGCCATTAATCTGTAAGGCAAACGCATTAAAGCCGCTGTGGAACCATACTAAGATAAAATGATGACAAATGCTACTGTTGGCAAAGATTGTTGAGAACATGGGTTTCCACACATTCCTTGTGGGAGGATAAATTGATAGAATCACTTTGAGAAGCTGGTAGTTACTACCAGTCCTGACCATGGATATAAAACCTCTTACCCAGCAAATCCATCTCAGGACTATATTAAAAAACACAAACAAACAAAACAACAACAACAAAAAACTATGGTTATCTGGTGTTATGGTGCATGTCTGTAGTGCCATGACTTCAAGGTCATCCTCTGCTACATATTATGTCCAGCCTGGGCTATAAGTGACTGTCTCAAACAAATGTACAAACACCCCACCAAACAAAAGAAACTTGCATGTCTACCAAACTCAAGTGTTATACACTGGAACAGTAGTACTTGCCATAGACAAAAGCTGACAGCGGGCTTGGGATATAGTTGTTGATAAAGCATGTGCCATGTAAACATGAAGACTGAGCTCTACCCTCAGCACCTCCAAAAATCTGGGCACTATGGTGAGAGTCTGTCATCCCAGCATTGGAGAGGGGGAGGCTGCCAGACTGGCTAGCTCCAGGTTCTGAAAGCAATTCTGTCCCCAAAACTAAAGTAAGAAAAGACACCTGACATTGCCCCCTAGGCTTCACACGCACAAACACACACACATACACACATACACACACACACACACACACACACACACACACACACACACACACGGGGGGGGGGATGGATTAGAAGCTACCCAAATGCCACTGTTAATGAAATGGTTAAAAAATTTCAATATTGACACACAGGAATATTATATAGATCTACAGCTAGCCCCAAAGCCAAAACTACAGATGAATCTCTCAAATAAGTTTAGCATCAAACCAGACAAAAAAGTGAACAGACTCTATTAATATAAAGTATAAGAGCAATCTGTGTTGTCACGAGTCAAGGGAGGCTGGTGGCTGAAGGAAACACGGCAGACGTCTGTGCTTGTGGAAGTTGTCCTGTGTGCCAGTTGCCTGCCAGGGCATGCAGTTCTTGATTTTTTTTTTTAGAACAAAATTTAATTGGCGGCCCCTTCACTGATATTGGTCTTTCTTATCAGCACTAGTAGGCACCAAATCATTTTTCTCTATGATCCATTTTCCATGCATTCATATGAGTTGCGCAGGAATGACACTATGAGGGTGACATCATGAAGATGACATTGCAAGGCACTGAGCTAGATGCTGGGTCCTTACTAAAACATTTATATTTCACAGATGAAGAAACCAGTATTCGACCAACCCACAAACAGCTAACAACTATAGGCATGGCTAGGAAGGGAAGACAATGCAGGCTGACAAGCAACAGAAGTAAACACACTTTCCTACACGGGGCGTGCAGCTCTGCTCACGCCCCCTCTGGAGTCCCGTCCCCGCCCATCCTCGCTAGCATTCTCCCCCATCAAATTGGCCAGACAGAATGCAATTTCTGCCTATGCCATTGTTTGCTTTCCTTTCAATACGCATATTTACAACTGTATTTTATTGTGCCTCTGCAAATACCTGCCTCTGCTGCTTATTTCTGAGCCTTTAGCTCTCCAGGTAACCCCCCAGCTTTCTGACAGGTTTTCTGGCACAAATTCTATCCATGTGTCTCTCTCCTCATCACCATTCTACTTTATTTACAGCGATGGGCTGTCTCATTCTCTGCTAAGCTTCAGATAAAGGGAAAGAGGGAAGATCAGTCTAAACAGCAGCAGCCATTTCCCCCCACTGGGGCAGTCAGAGGCCATTGTATTTCTGGTGTAACAAGGTTCACTGGAGTGAGGGTGTAGCTCAGTGGGTAGAGTCCTTGCCTGGCGTGCATGAAGTCACACATAAACGGGGCACGGTGACTTACCCCTGTAATCTCTGCACTTGAGAAGTATAAGCAGTGGTACCAAAAGTTCAACATACACAAGGCCCTGCCTCAGACAGACAGACAGACCTACCAACCAACCTAATTCGCTGAGAAACAGGAGTTGGTGTGTGCTTGTAATCCCTAGCATATGGGAGATGGGGCCGAAGGATGGCAAGGTTAAAGCCAGATTCTGTCTCAATAACACACACAAAAGATTTCAACGATGACTTGGGATCTCTCCTGTGTCATCAGATTATAATAGCTTGATACCACTAAACACTGAGCTTCTCAAGCACGACTGTTTACTATCATTTCATACTCACCAAACATACTCATGTACAACTTTGGCTTCTCCCGGCTTTCTTTCAGGCATAGAGAGGCCAACATTGAGTTCTGATCTACCAAACTCTTATTTTAAATTGATAGGCAGCTATTCTTTTGGTTTCTATTTTACATGATTCTCCGTGTATGAAGGATGCCAAAAATATCGAGCAGGCTGTGCCTGCTGTGTCCCTACCTGGACCACCCTGACAAGCTGACATTTTGACACTTTACTGATTCAACAACCAAGAAGCCAAGTTCTCTGTGAACAGCTACCCAGTCATTCTAACACATATGACTGAGGAAATGGAGAATTTTATTCTGAGGCAAATGTGGACAACTGCCACAGAAAGTGCGCACTCACCACACTCCTGTTTCCACAACGTCATCGAGCACGCTCTGACAGCCTGTCGGATTCTGGGCAGCAGATGCCAGGAAAGCCACACCTTCCCTTTCCACAATGGAGGAGGCAAAGAGCAGCATGTCAAAATTGTTCTCCGAAGTGATTCTCATTTTTTTTGTTTGCTTTTGTTTTGCTTTTTCTATAGTACCCTTTGGGGATTTTCCACTGAACAACGAGACAGCCCATCTTCACTCCTAACTGAAGGCCTCCACCTAAGAAGCCCCTTCATCAGTCCCCAGGCGCTCTGAGAAGCCCAGGTGGCTACACCAGCTGTCACCTGCAGCTGCAGAGAGAAAGCAAGGCCGGCTGAGCCGTCAAGGACCTGCTGCACTCTGGCAGAGCAGGGCTGAGGGAGGCACAGCATTGGCATAAGCGTACTGCAGTGAACCACCTCTCCGGTTCTGTTTATTTTGTACACAAGCCTGGCCATTAGGTTCAACAAACGTTTATTAAGCATCTGTGCTATACCAAACCACAGCTGAGGCCAAGGGCAGTAAGAAAGAATGCTCTTCTGCAGCTTTAGAATTCCCAAAGCCCTATTCACCTGTCTCACCTGAGGCAACTTGCAGAATCACACTGCATCTCCATTATATCACACACCTGGAAGGTTGGAGCCTGAAAGGAGAAGTTACTGAAGATCACACAGTCAAGAAAAAGAGCAATGGGGACCAAAATCCAGGGATTTGATTATTTAACTGTCCATTTTACCATGTCACCCTATTTTACACACTGCTATTTGGCATTGACTACAGGGTGTTTTTCTGACCCATGCTACATGCTTTGCTTATAATTCTTTGTTAATATCATGAAGAAAAGGAATCTTGAGGTTGTTTAATTCCTTTTGTTGTTATTTGTTTCTGAGACAGGATCTCATGTAGCCCAGGCTAACTTCAAACTTGCCACACAGCTGAGGCTAGTCTTGAACAACAGATCCTCTTGTGTCCACCTCCCAAGAACTGGGATTACAAGCATGTGTCACTATGCCCTGCATCATTGCTTAATTCCAAAATACTTTTTTACCCGATTACTTAAGTTTCTCCCAAATTATATTTTTTTTTGTTTTTTGATTTTTCTTTTTCTTCCTCTCTATGCCTTTTATTTATTTGTGTGTGTGTGTGTGTGTGTGTGTGTGTGTGTGTTTCTTTGAGATAGAGTTTCTCAGTAGCCAATCCTGGAACTCGCCCTGTAGACCAGGCTGGCCTCAAACTCAGAGATCCACCTGCCTCTGCCTCCCAAGTACTGAGATTAAAGGCGTGCGCCACTGCCACCAACACCACCACCACCTGGCTCTCAAATATTTTTACTTACATATACTTCCCTTTGTTGAATCAGATAGTTTGTCACCAAAATGAGTAAGAACTAAGGTCTAACTTTCTGCATTTTTCCAGAGCAAGCATTTGGCTGTCACCTTCAGCTTAGAGTTGCATTCTCTATACCTCGTCATTGCCGATATTTATTTCTAATCACACTACAGATTCCTAGAAGAGAGCAACCACATTACAGTTCTGGGAGTGTGGCCAAGACTAACAATATTTGCTGAATGGAATTTAAATCATAGTTGGCCCTGCTACTCCCTAAATGGGAAACATTAGCACTAATGGTTAAGTTTGAAACTAGAGTAAGAAAGACCAGGGTAAGAGTGCTGATCTTGGGTTTGTTCACCAATGAAGCCCCATAGCTCTTGTTAGAAAATGGGGGTTTTAATAGCCACTTCCTAAGGTCCTTGTAGCAGTTCAGTGAGAAGCATAATACAGAGCATGAATGGAGTGTTGTCTAGACCACTTGCACTTGCTATGGCCACTTCCTGTGGCCTCTCCACACTCACTATGACCACTTCCTGTGGCCTCTCCAGAAGCCTTCATCCTAGGGAATGGGATGTTACATTTCACTACTACAAATGGAAAGGTCAGAGTTCCACAGCCAATTATCCACGGAACAGGGACCACAAAAGCCGGTTTGCTGAAGATAAACTGACAGAGCGCTGTGGTCCTGCTGGCTGTGGAACAGAGGTCTCTCTTTTCTCTCAATGCTATCTTATTTCATTTGTGGTAATGTGAGTCGGTGAATGATGCTTGCTTCGAATCAGATGTGACTCTGAATAATCACACCTGCTTGTGTAAGGCTATGATAATCAATGCTACAGGAAACCCTCACAGCTGGGAGCTGTAAATGTTATCATATGTGTCAGAATGACAACAATGGCCCCAGTTCTGAGGATAGGATAGCATGTAGGAATTCAGTGAGATGATCCCTTCAGGCTAGTGATGAGCAAAAGGAAAATTAGGCCCCTGCCATTTATGCCCCAAACCCTAGATAACCATTATGCTTCAGAACAATGTTTTAGCACACTGAGATTTTCAAAAATGTAAATGTGTGTGTGTGTGTGCATGCTGTGTCTCTGTGTGTGTGAAGTGCTTGCAATGCGCTTACTAGGCATGCATCTCTGGGGACAGATACTGCCTTCTCAGAAGCTCCCACCTTATTTTTGGAGAGTGGCTCTCTCCAGCTGAGCCCAGAGCTTACAGTTTCACCCTCACTGACTGGTCAGTGAGCCCCTGGGGACCCACCTGTGTCTGGGGAGTGCTGGGTGGCAGGCACGTGGCTCTAGTTTTGTATGTAGGTTATGAACATTTGAATTCATGTCCTCATGTCTGAACAGTGGACACTTTATCCACTGGGCCATCTCCCAAGCCCCACAAGTTTCTAGAAGCAAATTCTTACTTGTGTATTTCATCCCTAAGGCTGACTTTGGAAAATTAAAGAAAAAGGGCACAGTGATGTACTCCTACAAAGTCAGCAACAAAAAGGAGGAGGAAGGGGAGGAGCAGGAAGAGGAGGAAGGGGAGGAGCAGGAGGAAGGGGAGGAGCAGGAGGAGGAAGAAGGGAAGCAGAAGGAGGAGGAAGGGGAGGAGCAGGAGGAGCAGGAAGGGGAGGAGCAGGAGGAGGAGGAAGGGGAGGAGCAGGAGGATGAAGGGGAGGAGCAGGAGGATGAAGGGGAGGAGCAGGAGGAGCAGGAAGGGGAGGAGCAGGAGGAGCAGGAAGGGGAGGAGCAGGAGGAGGAAAGGGGGAAGGATGAGCAGGAGGTCTATTTCTATCAATGAATAATTGTGACAAAGAAGAAAATCATTTTACAGACTTCAGGTTTCTCACTCCAGCAGATTTATTCTTTGAGTAGAAACTTTAATTTACCAGCAAGATGATTATGAATGGCATTTTCTGATTCTACTTCTTCTCTACCTCCTAATGTACAGTAAGCACACAGTGTCTTTATGATTAGGGAAGAGGTCCTTAATTATTGTTATTTTCGTTTTCCATTGAAAAACAAATGGCCATGTCAAGCAGGGGAGCATGTGACCTTCCCAAAGGCTGGGTGACAGACCTGCCACGGGAGAGGACTCACAGCTCTCTGCAGTGATATTCAACAAAGGATACTGAGTCCTGACCTGGACCTGGGAATGCCGACTGATGATCATCAAGGAATCTGTTTCCACTGTGGGCCTCGCTTCCATCACATGGATGTGGCTGTCAGGGGCGGTTATATTTCCCTGCAGTTCTCACACTAACGGTGCCCGGCACACTGTAGGTGCTTAGTGTATATTTTCCAAATAAACAACTGTAGTGCCAACATAGGTGGCAGCTGCCCCCCTCCCTGAAGACAGAGGCTGCTTCATTGCCTGCTTGAGAAGTATGGGAGGGTCTGGATCTCAGAAACCGAAGCTGTGATTATTAACCATGAATCACCACTCACCAGAAACTCTAGCCAGCTAGAACATTGCATTTTCCTCCTCATAAAAGTATTATAGAACAATAGAACATACAGATAATGAAAGAAAAGGTGTATTTTAAGAACCTCTAGTGATGTGGGAATATCTTCACACAATCTACAATTCATACATAGACCTACATATGTTTCTTCTAACAAGAATAAGAATTGTAATTTTGATGTCATCAAATATTACCCTTCCACAGTATCTTAAATAGCAATAAAGTAGGACTTCTTGAAGTTTTGCATCGCTGATCCATTCTGACCTATACATTTTTACAAGATGACAGATATGGGTATGTTTGTGAGCATGCAAGATAGGTATACAAATCAAAAACATGCTGGAATCAAAATTTTATTTTAAAACAACTTTTGGTATGTAATTTTACTATTTATTGGAGATGAAAGCAAACTTTCATTGCAATAAAATAAATGTGGTATATTTTTACAGACAACATTAAATCTTGGGGCTAGAGGGATGGCTCACTGAGAGAGAGAATGCAATATTCTTGCAGAAGAACAGATCAGTGATCAGTTCCCAGTACCCAGGTGGGGTGGCTCACAACTGCCTGTACCTCTATCGCCAGGGCATCCATTGCCCTCTTCTGGCCTCCAGGGGTATTTGTTCTCACACATACATGTGCTTGTACTCAAGCACACACACACACACACACACACTTTAAGAAATAATTGAATCTTCAAATCATGGCAAGTATTTGATGCTGAAGGACATAGCACTGTCAATGTATTTTTTCTGAGTTTGATTGATATTTTGATTTTATAATCACCAATGATGATAACAGCTTCGCATAAATATATAACATAAAATGGCAGAAGTATGTTTAGGCTATTCCAGAAATTCTATCCTAACCCTAAGTCAATTTTTGCTTAACAATTTTTTAATGAAACACTAGCCAGCAATTCAAACAATAATATTTAAAGACAAACTAACACAACATCATCCAAACATATTGTCAGTATCTGTAAGCTGAGGAAACGATAGAATATCAGATGTTTTCATTTTCCATAATGAGACCGTTATGTTTCTATAGGAGCAGAAAACCTTGTATGCACAGTAAAAACCACTGCGATTCATAGCATACTATAGTACTGAGTCTGAGCTGGCGTGTCCCAACAGCACAAAGTGTACGTGTTGTATGTTCAGAACCAAGTGATGTCATATGATGCAACACAGATAAGCATTGTCGGTTATCTCTCAGACTCACTATGTATTTAATTCTGAATTAAATTTTGATTGTTCAATGTTCTGAAACTCTTACTGTTGCCAATTCCCCCCCAATCCTGACATGCAGTTGCTCACCCTCAGTCACAACCCACAGTTGAAGAGGCAATAAATATAGGTGACATCAGATGTATGCATACTAATCTGACCCACATGCCTGCCACATTAAGAATGTGCTCCCCCCTTTTTTTCTGTTATGAAAGATGCTGTAATGAGCATGTGATATGCAACCAGAGATGAAAACCTAAGCCAAGTCTGATGACACACCTGTAACCCCTACACTTAGAAGGCTGAGGCAGGAGGATCTGGAGTTTGAGGCCTGTGTGGGTTACAGAGTGGGATTCCCACCAACATGAACTACCAACCTAGACCTTGTGTGGTGGCACACACCTTTAATCCCAGCACTCAGGAGGCAGAAGCAGGTGGATCTCAGTGAGTTCGAGGCTAGCCTGGTCTACAAAATGAGTTCCAGGACAGCCAGGGCTACACAGAGAAACCCTGTCTTGAAAAACCAAGAGAGAGAGAGAGAGAGAGAGAGAGAGAGAGAGAGAGAGAGAGAGAGAGAGAGAGAGCGCATTCAATTAACTTATCAAATAAATAATTAAAAAATTGAATACTTGATAAAAAAGAAAGTTGTCATCTGTAAAGGGCCATCCTTTATATGGCTTTTGTGAAAGAAGCAAGAGACAGACACCATCCACTTCAGGGCCTGAGAAGGCTGGGTGGGCTCTGTACAATACTCACTGACCCACATGAAAAATTATGCCTGAACTTGTCCCAGTTAGGTAGTAGCTGCTGTTTACCCATCAGTGTATTGGCTTGAGCAACGGAGGCCGTACTGTTGCCCACAACTCCGAATAAAGTTTGGAAGTTTGGAAGGAACCTTAGACAAACAGTATGTGTCATATCCTCAACTAATCCTTGGGGATTTAGGGTAAATTACAGGAATTTTGCTGAAGACTCGATCTTAGAGTCTTCAGATCAACCTCATAGTACTAGTAGAGTTCTATCATCATGCAGTGGCCTAATACAGAGTTCAAGACTCTGAACAAATGGGACCGTGCTCCCTCCCCTTTTTATGTTCAAGTACTGCTAAGCCAACTATGTTCAACAGGTTGATTCCA